AGTAGACAAAAAAACAAAAGCAAAAGAGAAACTCCATGTGCTACAGGATGGACTCGAAAAGTAACTCAACACTAAGTCTCGGAGTATCAGGGGTGTGCGCCGGGGTAGCTACCAGATGCACCTGCCTCAGTACCTGCACGATTAGTGCAGAAGTATAGCGTGAGTACATAAACACCATGTACCCAGTAAGTATCTAGTCTAACCTCGAAGAAGTAGTTACGAGGGGTCGATATCGACACTTACTATGGGCTAACAGTAAAATACAGGAATTCTAAATAAGCATGGGTTATGTAAATAACAAATATAACTCAATAACAATTAGTGAATAATAATTCTTTCTCTAACAATAAATTCCAAGTCAATTTCTGTCATTAAATAATTCTAACCACTCAAGCAATAAAATAATATCAAGTATAATTAGGCTGCGAGTATTTATCACACACGATTTATGCCGAGGTCGTACGGTCCGATTAAAAAATATACTGTGTGCACTGCCGAAGGTCGAATGACACGAACCATAGATGCATCTATTAACCTGCCGAGGCGAACAGTCCGCTCCCATGAGAGTAGAGGAATTTACCTCGCTCGCAGAAATACTTGCGACGCGAGTGAAAGCGGATTTAGCAGAGTTATTATAAAATTCTTCAATTCTTCCCAAACATAAGAAATCCAAACTAGAGACTTTAAATCTTAAAATCCTTAATCTCAGCTCTATATAAGACAATTAATATGCATAATCAATATAGCAGTGCAAACAAAGCATGATGTAAATCTAAGACTACCCGGACATCACATGGAATTTACAAATATGCGTATGTAGCTCCCCACACAAGAAATTTACAACAAATATACCTAAGGGGATGAGTTCCCTTTTAAAAGGTTAGGCAAGAGACTTACCTCGTTCTCAAGCTCACTCCCGATCCACAAATATGCTTTTAATCCTCAACTCGGTGCCAAACAACCCGAAACTAGTCAAATATTATATAAATTAATCAATATATGTTCAAAAGTTCATAATTTAACTATTAGAGTAATTTCCCAACCCAAATTGAAAGATTCCAAAAATTTACCCCCGGGCCCACGTGTCCGGATTCAAAAAATTTTTGAAGATAAATATTATCCATAACCTCACGAACTCAAATATATAATTCTCACCCAATTGCATAATAGTTTTCGTGGTTAAATCCCATTTTTATCAAAACCTAGGTTTTTCATTTAAACTCAAAATTTTCACAAGTTTTCATGTTAAAATCTACCCATAATCTATGTATTTAACTTACATTGGATAGAAATTATTTACCTCCAATAGCTAGGTGAAAACCCTCTCTCTAAGAGCTCCAAAATCGCCCAAGGAATTTAATAAATGACCCCAAAATGGTCTAAGTCTCGACTTAAATGAAACTTCTGCCTCCAGCGATTTTTGCTTCTGCGGACCTGGGGCCGCACCTGCGGAAAAGCCATCGCAGGTGCGATCCTAGCCCAGGCTAGCAGACTCCGCTTCTGCGGACGCACTCCCTCTTCTGCGATCCTGCTTCTGCGGAGGGTGGAGCGCATTTGCGGCCTTCTCGCACCTGCGGACCTCTCATCGCAGAAGCGAGGCCGCTTCTGCGCATGCTCTTCCGCTTATGCAGACCACTGGCAAATGCCCAAAGCCGCTTCTGCGTCCAAGAGCTCGCACCTACGGCCAAAAGCTCGCAGGTGCGGGCACACCAGAACTGGTGCACCAGTAGCCCTTTTAAGCTCTAACTCGATCCGTGCAACGTCCGAGTAGCACCCGAGGCCTCATCCAAACATACCAATAAGTTTGTAAACATGAGACGGACTCGCTCAAACCCTCGGAACGTGGAAAACATCACCAAATCTAAAAATCGCACCCCAAACCAAATTGAATCAACTTATGAACTTCAAGCTCTTTCAACTTGCTCCAAGCATGCCGAATCATACTTAAACTACTCTGAATGATACCAAAATTTGCGTGCAAGTCTTAAATCACCATACAGAACTATTCCCAGGATCAGAATCTCAAACGGACCTCGATAATATCAAAACCTAGTTCAAACTAAATTTAAAGAACTTTAAAACCTTCAATAAGCCAACTTTCAACTTTAGGCGCCGAAACGCTCTCGGATCACCCAAAACTCGCTCTGAACACACGCCCAAGTCCAAAATCATCATATGAATCTGTTGGGACCGCAAAATCCCGGTTTTAAGGTCGTTTGTTAGAATAATTGACCCAAGTCAAACTTAACCATTTAAAGCCAATACTAAAGAACTAAGTGTTTCGATTTTAATCTGAACCCTTCCAAGTCCCGAATTAATCATCCCCGCAAGTCATAAAATAGTAAAAGCACATACGGGGAGTCTTATTTAGGGGAGCGGGGATCTAGTAAGCAAAACGACCGATCGGGTCGTTATAATTTACAACCTTTTCGAATGTGTAAAATCCAATATATTGACTTTTCTTTATATGTAGGATTTATATTGTAGATCTTATGCATAAATAACAAACGTTAAAAATAGAGATGCATCGTAATATTCTTCTTACAAAAAATGTTACAAGAAGGTATATGTTAAAAACAAAATTGCTAATTGTAGCAATTGTACAACAAAAGACATCACTTGCGAGTAAAAGTAAACAGATAAAAAATCTTTCCCTTCTTTTTTATTTCTTTAAATTAAATAAATATTTTTCTAATAAAACTATATAACACTTTATAGATACTATTTAAAACTTGATATGTTCGAACGCAAATACTATTATGCTCCTTGATGCTATAAAATATTTGCTAGGTTGCGATGTTAAAGAATATATCCAAGTAATCTCCCATAAGATTATCATCTTTCAATTTTATTTTTGGTATACTAAACATATAATTTGATGACAACATGGATATTCGGCTAATAACAAAGGCATATATAGCATTCCGTAATTTCTTGCTTCATGTCAAAAACGAAAAAGAGCAAACAATAAAATATAATTTGGTATGTCTTCCAAAATAATTGATCATCAAGCTCAATGATGATATTAGTTGTGAAGATCGCTTAACAAGGAAAATATTTTCATTAAATAAAAATGAAAGTTTTGCAAGGTACATGACAGAAAGAGCTATCTTACCTAGTAAAAATGAATATGTTGATCAACTAGATGAGATGTTGATTGCTAAATTTCTTGGTGAGAGCAAAAGATTTATCAGTTTCGACTTAACAGAAGATTATACTGTTACTTCCAAACGCACACGCAAGTATACGTGGTCGACAAGTAATATAGGATTGTAAGTCCAGATATCGTACCCACGGGGACTTGTGATTAACTATTTATGAAATTAAACCCAAACAATTAATCTATTCGAGCGATTCCTAAAGTATGAATATTTAACTACAATCATTCTAGAGTAGCAAACTAAGATATTAAAGAAACAAGTTGGCAAAAGTTTAGAGACGAATTCAATGGGAGACAATATTCTAGAGCTATGAGTTGGCTAACAATCTCGTTGAGTTTTTCACTTAAATTATCTAATTAATTTATCTGGTTTATTGGTTGACAGAGTTAATATTGCTCGTAGCCTTCTCCCGAAGTACTACTCGCCTATTCAAACTAACCTAACGCCTATATTCCAATAGAATTAGGATTAATAAGAACGCATTAATAATTTTTGTATAATAATCAAGTAAGGCGATTAAGTATCTCCCTATCCTAACCACAAATCTGTTTTCCGTTAATCAGGTTCAAGATCTCGCTCTACTCAATCTTATATGCAATCTAAAATTCTCTCTCCCGAGTTCAATCCTAGATTCGTAGATAATATTCAATTGGTGATCAAGCAATCAAATAATTAAGCGTAAGATTGAATAAATAAACCAATATGATAAAATAATAAGAACAATTCAAGCTTTAAACTACAACGTTCATGCAGCATCCAGAACTCTAGAACTAAAAAACTATGAGATTAAAAGAAGAGAAGAGAAGAAAAACTAGTTAGAAGCCTCCGCCCAAGCGTGGTGTGTGTTCCTCCACGTGAATTCTCCTTCAAAGTATGTTAGATCCCCTCCAAATTAGATTTAGAACTCCTTTTATACGAGTTGAGACCATTTAAGACCAAAATAACCTTGTTCCGAACAAAGTTGAAAAAATCACGTCACCCAGCGTCCAAGCCAGCGCCTCACGCTGGCCGTGGCGCTGAAAGTAGTGAGCGATTTCACGTTCCGTCTTTCAATTCTTGCGCTGGCATGTACGTTTTTCTTTTGCCTTCTTTAGTTGTTTGCTTTGAATTGCATTTCTTTGTCTTTCACTTGGTGAACAAAACCCAAGAGGTGTCCCCCTTTTTTTATTGAATTAATTTTCTTTTTTTTTCTTCCGTATTTTATTCAATTTTGCTCCAAATCTCTTCATCTTCATACCGCTTTATTCCTACACAGTTAAGATATAATATTAAGTATAAAACAATATAATTAATACTCAAAAGATGATTAAAAGTGCTATAATATGAGGCAATAATGGTTAAATATATGCATTTTTGGCGGAATATCAACACCTCACACTTAAACTCTTGTTCTCCCTCGAGTAAGTATTAAAACCACTCTCAATAAATCAAACCTAGCAACACCACCACTTCGGTTGATACTAACAATTAGGCCCTATAGCAACTCAAACCATCATATATACACTTCCTAATCATCGTGCAAGATATACAAGTCACAAATAATTAAACAACAAACTTCTAACCTCCTAACCTCAGAGACATACTCTAACTTATCGAACTTTAAGCTTGCTCACCTACTCTGTCAAAAAAGCTAATAACATCACATATCTATCATGAAACCACAAACGAATTCACATATATGCACAAAGAACCATAGGCTTGCCCATTATATACATCTCTACTAATAAGTATGCTCAAATAGAATCAAATAGGACTTTATCAGGTTGTAATGTTCGCTAGGGGACGGGTAGAAAAATTATATAATCGTGACTTACACTTCCCTAAGTACTTTGCACTTTTAGACTTCATCACCAATTATTTTCTACTCTTCACTTTATTTTTCAGACATCTCTTCATCCATTGTTTTACAAGTATTTCCCTTATATCAAGAACGTTTTATTTTTTTAAGAAATTTTTCTTTTCTCTTTTTTTCATATCACATTCTTTTCAAGAGGGCCTTTTCATCACTATTCAGCTATCATTGGTCACCATTTTTTACTTAATCATCTCTTTCAAATTTATCAATTAATATCACAGTCTAAACAATAATGCTCAAAGAAACAGGGTGCAAAAACTAGGGATTCAACAAAAGGATCAAGGCAAAAATACGGCTTCCAAACAAAAGGCTACGGGCTCAACGAGCTAACTAGTGGTACAATATTTGAAAAGGCTAAAATTCACAAGACATAATCAAAGAAAGCCTATTATCATCTTCTAAACAGAGCAACACTTTTAATTCGCTTCAATAACATTCAGGGCAAGTTCTAGACTAAGATGCAAAACATAAAATATATGTAAGAAATCCTCACCCCACATGGCACAAGTATCAATCAAGATGGATCAATTCTACTCTAAGACAGACAGGATCATAGCGAACGACAAAATAAGAATAAGGTATATACAGTGTCACAAATCTGAGCTTAGGTGTCAGAAAGTTTGCTATTTTATTCATTACCCAAGCACTCAGAGGAAAGTACTACTCACGCCTAAATATGCTAGTATCAAATAACTCACAAAGGTTTTCTTCTTCCTTTTTTTCTTCTACTAAAAAAAAATCTAATCCCAAAAATAAAAAAGTTTACCCGATTCAAGTTACATCCCCTGGAAAAGAACCGATGCACAAAGAAAAATTAAGGGGGATTATTACCTAACTAAAACTAACTAGAACAAAAATAAAATCTTTTTGTATTTTTTTATTGGACCTTAATCCCTCCAGAAAGCTATCCACAAAATTCATCGTCGGGAAAGGTGAAACAATTTTGATTTTGTTTTCAAATTTTCATTTTTTTTCTTTTTTTCTTTTAACAAAAACTACTACACTAAGAACGAGTACTACAACTCAGCTAAGATAGAACATAAAATCACCCAGACAATCTCATCATCCCACACTTAAAATTGTGCAATGTCCTCAATGCACACTATAAATAACAAGAAGGTAAAAGAGACTCCCTGGTAGGCCAAAGTCCGAAGTATTCGCAGCTCACGGGATACTCAGATTTCTCCCAGGTATGATCCCTCGTGCGGGTATCTCACACTCAGTTTCAACCGTCTGCTCGCTTTTGCACTCGCCTATTTCCTTTGACTCCATGCTCCTACTCCTACAAAACACAAAAACAACACTACAATAAGAAAAACACAATAAAAAAATAAACAAAAAGAATAAGAAAAATATAGAATTGGGTTGTCTCCCAACAAGCGCTTGATTTAACGTAGCGGCATGACGCCATCACTTTCACCATTTTTTCTTCCACTTTGAGGATATGAATTGCACCTCCAATGTTTTATCAATTTTTCTGTCACGTTCATGGGGCGGTGGTGTAAAAATAAAGGAACCAAGCAATAGATATCGCATCTTGCACTTCTTGGCCCTTAAGTGAGGAATGTCGCTTTGCCTTTTTGGTGTTGAAAATTTTAGAATGTAAGGGTCTTGCTCTTCATCTAGACATCTCTCCAAAGTCTCGATCTCTTTGTCTCCATCCAAACATAATATAGAAAAATATTTAGAATGAGGACCAACACACCCCAACTCCAAAACTGCATTATTTTTTATATCCTTAATAATATATACTTCCTCAACCTCAGCATCATCCACAAGAACATAGTCTAATGATTGGTATTCTCGTTTTAGCTCCTCAATTTGGCCTAGAAGATCTTTTTCAACTTCACACAACTCATCACTAAATTATTGGGCGTTACACGCATCAATCTTTGCACTCAATTGAGCCTCCAAGTCGTGAATAGAACTGCCAAATTGGTCGATCTCTTGTTCCAGTTCAGCTCTCCCTTCTATAAAGTGTTGCATCCCATTTATAATTTTGTCACGAAAACCTTCATATTCCTCTAATAATTTCCTATGCATATCAAGAATGCGAACATCGTGTTCCACATTATCCAATTCGTTACTCATGTCATACTCACAAGAATTATTATAATCAACATAAGAAGGGATTGGAGTAGGATAACAACACTTAGGACAATTATTCCAATTACCACCACAAATAGTACAGGATTGCGATGGTGCACACAACTCGGTCCTGGAAATATTTTTACAATATTGTCACAAGTGGGGTCCTTTATAATATGGACAAGGACCACAAAAACAAGAATACTTACCATCCCATCACTTTTTGTTCAAAGATGCCATGTAAAAAAAATATAATACTAACTACACTAAACTATTAATAATTGGCCAAATTATCTGATTTAATACATATTTGAGACCTATCGTGCATTTTTACCTTTTAAACCACTTTTGGTATTTATGGAATTTGTTTGAACAAGTCGCGATGTCGCGCACTCATTTGTTTTTGCAAACATTGTGAATCGCGCCACGTGAAACGCACCCGCGATTTACAACATGTTAATTTTTATTATTATTTGAAGTGATGGTCGAGTCACGTGAAACGCACACTCGACTTGAAGATTACGTATCGTGACTATGCCACGGGAATCGTACCCATAGCCACGATGATTTATTAATCGCGCCTAAAGTAACTAGCGCATTTATGATTATTTCTTCCTATATTTTGGGATTATGTGAAGGTCTTGAGTTCAAATGCCTTCGATGGATTTACCTTATTAATAATATGGTTGGTAGTTGGTTTTCACAAAATCGTGAGTTATGCATGAGGAAAGACTCACATTTAAACCTTAACCAGGTCTGTTGTAAACGTTTGTGGGCTTACAATTGAGCCCAAATGATAATATAGTGTGGAAACCATTAGGCCCCAAATTGGGCATGCAGCCTCGTTAGACCAATTAATAGGCCCATACTGGGAAAAGCTAAATCCACAAATTCCTACTCAAACAAGTCCAGTCACACTTCATAGCTTACAAAATCTTTGGACAAGCACAGATTAATTACTCAATGTTAAAATCAGTTCTTAAATAATAACATCACAAATCATATACTCGATCATTATGCTAAACACAAAAGTCTCGATTGAGTCTAGGCTAAACATGTGAAAACAGTATGTCTCAATTCATGCTAATAATCATCTTAAGCCACGAATCATTCACATAAAGCACATAAATGATTTTCCTAAACATTCTGCCATGTCACTTGAATCTATAGCATATTTAAGTATTAGCTAGATCTAGCACTTCAAATAAGTTCACACACGTTCCACTTATATTAAAACCAAAATTGACAACAGATTAAATCATTCATGACAAGAGAATTTAGGAGGAGAAAGCCAAAATTTCATTGCAAATCAAGGAAGAAGTACAAGTTGGAGATGTGTACCTAATCGCTTAGGAATTGGCTAGAAACGCTAAATAAAGGCTAGACAAAAGGGCCAAATGAAGATCAGCAAGACAGCAACAACAACGGAAGCAGTCCACGGCAAAATCAACCTTCAACAACTTAAACTCAAGAACCCCAAAACTAACAAGTAGAGGAACTGAAGTTTGACAGAAACAAGAGCTTCATAATTTCCCTTTCTAATCTGTTTTCTTTTTTCTTTTTTTGTATTTTTCCAGATCTGAAATCCAAAGTTTGAAACCAAAAATTTTCAGCTATTTTTAATTGTGAGTTTCTGTGTATGAGAGGAGAGGAGAGTGTGGGAGTGAGGTCTGTGAATCGCGAGGTGAGGGATGAGATTAAGGGGACGACTCAGGTTTTTTGAGTGTAGAAGAGGAGTCCCTCTTTTGG